TCTTAGGCGACGCTCATCTGTTATACAATCTGTCATTATAATCGTTCACTGCCCTGAACGCTCTGTACCATCATCAAAAATGTTTCATTGTTTTTGGACAACACAGCAATTTTCATTACAAAAGTATAATAAACAGTCAAATAAATGCACAGAACGATTGCAGCCATTTACAAAGTGTATGTGATTTAGAACGGTAAAATTGTTTTTATTTTTTAACTACACTTCAGCAGCGGAAAACGAAAAACTTCACGTTTTGTGTTATAAAAATAACTTCGAGATTTCTTTTAGCTTTTTCCAACGTTGTAAGACAGTAATTTTTGTTTCATATTAAAAAACCCTTTGCGTTTGCATTTGGTGCTGAAAAATTATCAAAAAAATGTTTTCTGTTAGTATACAATATTCTGATTATATAAATTTTTCATGTTTTTTCAATTAGATAAAATAGTATTAAGTTGACGAAAAAAATGTAAAAAAACGTTTTTGGTTGTAGGAGAGAAGTGGGTTAAACATTTAAGATTTCAAAATTTCTTGTAAATAATAATCTCCATGTTTTAGAAAATTATAAAACATCATAATTGTATATTCACCAGTAATGTCCCTTCATTTCGTTCTTCGAACAAAGACAGCCGTGTTGCACGTGAGCTATTCTTAGGTAGTAATGCAATAATAATAATAATAATAATAATAATAATAATAATAATAATAATAATAATAATAATAATAATAACAAGTACAACAACTTCAATTTATTCCATGAAATGATTTTGATATAAGTAAATCGTGTTAATTGGTAGCACATAGAAACCTGCTGCCGCCATCGGAAGTGGGTAAAAAAAAATCTTCCACAATTGTTGTTTATGTTATAATTATATTGTAACTACTCTATGCCATTTGGTTTAGGGAACCGTTTTCTATCTTGGGGGGGGGGGCTATTACCCCCCCCAATAAAAGATCCGAAATCCCGCCTCTGCTCCTAACGCAATCTGGTGTAGAGATACAATGAGAAACGTGTTTTTCACGTTTTATTTTATTTTTCTCAATTTGCATCAGACTGGAAAAAATGGAAGAGACGGGGGAAATGGTTGAATTAAAAAAAGAATTTATAAACCTGAATGACTTTAAATTAAATAAAAAGTTTTCAACAACTAGTCTGTCCAAAAAAACAGACGTACTTAAAAAAATCTGAATGTATAAAACAGAGAACTTTCAAAATATTTTAAAAAGAAAAATAGTTGAATTTGAAGGTATTTTTGTCAACTAATTTTGACGCCAAATTATAATTTTTTACAAATGTTGATATTTCGTTCAAGCACTGTCTCAGTTTTCCCCCTAGAATGTGTCTCATAACATTCTCAAACATTTATCTTCTTCATATTTTTAAACAATGTGGCGCTAGTGAAAAAAAATGAAACCAATTTTATCAGCTTAAAAATTTGAAATAGAAACTAGGCGCGCAGGGCAGAGAAGAAAAATAATACGACTGGTCAGGGTGGATAAGACAGTTGCAGTTCAGTGTAAAGTGAGAATCCATTATAGATGGAAAACTGTCCTTTGCTTGTCCACTACATGATTGTGATAACCTGGAAACGCACGGTACATAGCTAGTCCCATTAAAGTGAACTAATGGGATATTGTGTGTTCTTTATGGTTTTTACTTCTCTTCTTTAAGTTGTACGACCAAGTCCAATTGTATGTTACTTAAGAGATATCTGACATCTGAGGGTCGCGTGCGTGTACGTGAATTCCATACTACTTGTGACAGGACATAACATTTAAGACAGCCAGGCATTGGTTGTCAGATATCGTACTTGCGTAAGTGGTAGAAAGAACCACCTCGTAAAAAATGCAATTGGTCTCAAGAGAACTTACCCAAATTTTCTAAATATAATATATATGAATCACATACCTTTCTAAAAGTTGTTCGGCATATGACTTTCCAAATAACTCCTTTTCACAAGCTCTTTGCATTTTCATTCTGCGATACTCAAATCGCTCTTGCCATTCAGCGAGTTCATCTGGGCCATGAGCATCAACACATTGAACTTCATATCGACAAGTTCCTCCTCCAACGCACCAGTTTTCACACAGTCTATATGCATCAGAAGTCAATCCACGAGGAGGAGGCCGATATTTCCAATCACGACCTTCATCGGACATGATAATAGTCTGATGAGACTCAGTCTGGCAATGAGCACGCAACTCCACCACATCTTGGAAAGACAAACAGCAATAACTGCACTGTACTGAGTCTTTAGTCTTAGATATATTTTCTTCTATTCCACTTGACTCCAAATGCAAATTATTGAAATCCATGGTTACTGAAACAGAAATTGGACATGTTCAGTTTCTCAAAGCAAAAAAAAAAAAGGGGGGACAGAAGGAAGGAATATGGAAAGAAAAAAGCAAATGAAACGAAAAAGACGGTGAAGTAGAAATATTCCTCACAAAATCTTCTAGAAGAATATTACTGATATTTATATAGCACTGTCAAGGTACACTTTAAGTAACACTGTCAATATGACGTAGTAGCAAAGCACGCATTTAAAAAATATCCGTTTCTAAAATATTTCATTTTTCAGTTTAAGTAAAAGTAATGCACAAAGAATGTATTGCTAATAACAGGTAGGTACTAAGGAATGCCATTTATTTCTTGAGAATTATATTCATGTTCAGCTAGATAAACATTTTAATGTATATGGATTAAATAATTAATTCCATCATTTGGATGGCTGAAAAGAATACGTAACTCCAACATCTGCTTGTGAGGGTGAAATTCAGACATGGCAAATGCTACACCGGGAGCACTCACCATTGCTAATTCGAATGCGATGGCTCCAAAGAAAAGAAGAGAAACAGTTGGCTAATTTATCACGGACTTGTGACGTAAAGCTCAGCCCTATACAACTAGCGGTGCTACATGAGCACGTATTAGTTTACATTATTTATCATGCCAACGCAATATTATACTACTACATGAACCTGAAAAAATGACCCACAACCAGCAAAAATGTTTTCCGGTCATCGATTAAAAGTCTAATTCTCTCAACCCAACATTTCCAATAAGCAATTTTTGAAAAATTCAGAGAGATCAAAGAAAATGAGACCTCCACCATTATTTGCTGCGTCCCTTCTTTAAAATTTCAAAATACGAAAATGATATACAGACATCTCCAATTTATTAAAAATCTTAATAAATTTTATTTAATTTATTAAAAATCTTAATAAATTGTATATGTGAGTAGAAGTGTTTCATATGATTTTCAAAAAAAATTCCTGAAATTCTCTAAAGTTTTCTACGGCGACAAACAGTTGTGACATTCAATTATACCCATAGCAGTCTCGAACCAGCGGCCCTTTCCTCCGATACGCAGAGTCCGAACCAGACATTTAACCAGGCACTTCTATAATAGTCATAAACGCCGAGAGACAATTAATGGTTCATACGTTTTACAAAGTCCATAAGATATGTGAAAAATTCTCAAAAATTCGAAAATCACATGCAGACACTTCGAGTTTATTTATTTTGATTAATCGTATTTGCGATTAGAATTGCTTCAAATTGTTTTCAATAAAGTCTCTGGAATTATCAATTATTTCCTGTAGCAACACAGAAATGTTTCAAATAATAGTTCTGGACGAAGACTCGAACGAGCAAACTTGCCGAAAAGCTAATTGTCTTAAAATTAATTGCCTTATTAGGAAATTAACGACCTCGGTTATCCAGTTACAACGTGCGATTGATACTTCTATAGTAATAAGTGTAGTGGTTTCAGTTCTAGAATTACGGAGCCGAGTAATTAAGAAAATATGACAAGCTTGTTTTTCGGGCGACGAAATAAAACAGCCGAGAAAACAATGGCACCTATCGGATAAACTAGTCAAGAATAGAGAACTTACTACGACGAGAAAGACTATGTCATTTTAGAGCACCACTATTTTTTTATCTATTTACTAATTTAAATAGTTAATTTTATACAAAAAACTTCGTCTGACGCCAAAATCTTCAAATTTGTAATTTTGAATTGTTTATGCTATTTAAAAAAAAAACGAAACCCGAAAATGGTACTAGTACCACATTTCTTACCGCCCCTTATATATGTGGAGAAAATTAACGAAGAAATTTGGAACGGTTTTTCTGATTTTTTGTTGTTGTAAATTTCAAGCCCATTTTATGCAAAAACTACTCGTATTTTCCAAAAAATTTGTGACCTTTTCAAAAAAGATAATTTTGAACAACAGTCTTTGTCTGAGCGCAAAGTCATCTTAATTTTGTACTTTGAAAAAATATTTGTTTTAAACGGAGATATCACGGAATATGAGACCTGCACTATTCTATTAAACATGATAGGCACTATTAAATAACAAAATTTAATCAAAAAACTTGGAACCATTTTTTAGAAAATTTTGAAACTGTCCGAGGAGGTTTCATGTAAAGTACTCCCCAAAATTAAAAAATCTGTTTCAAAATCCTAAATTTAGCAACATATTTTCCTACTTTATCGCACCATAACCCAGAAAATGAAGTTTTTTTTTCTGGCGAAATTTTGACGTTTTTCTGGCGCACTATTACATAACTTTTTCTTCTACCGATTTCGTAAAATGTACCTACCGACTGGACTGTTCTTCATTTAATGTCAAAAAACGGATAAATGTGTGTACTAAACGAAGCGTATTCTGTGCATGTTTTCTTAAATTCTGGTATCTCTACAATAACCCACGTACAAGTTGAATTATAAATACTAGTGGAAACGAGCGCTTTTGGCAATTAATGGTAAGAAAATTTTATTTCCCGTGCAATAAAACTATTTTTCAAGGCAAAAAAATAAAATAGAGATTTTGGCAAACCGTCAGTCTGCCGTTCGTGAAGGAATCGACTTACTGCCGCAAAGATTATGATGAACATTAATTTGAATTTCTATACTTCTCACTGAACTCTAGAAAACATACGTAGATGAAGTTACATTTATGCCAAGAAATAAATCAAGGGGCCATCTCTTCATTCGATCAAAGGATCAGGGAAACTGAACGAAAAACCTGATCGAGATGACCTAGAAGCCGAAATACAACACTTGTTACAGGCATTTCTTTTAAAATTTAACACTCCAAGGGGTAAGTAATTCATTAAATATAAATGTTAAAAATCAATATTACTTTAATTTTTGATGATTTGGTTGTATAGAAAAACAGTTTCTATACAACCAAATAGATACAGCAGAAAAGATATTACAAGGCATTTAAACTTGCGAACGCCGTTGTCTATAACTACAACACTCGACGTAGTAATCACATTCATCAGGTAACTGTCAACAGTCCACTACAAAAACTTCACATATAATACAAGTACATTATTTTACAGCACCTTGCCAGATGACATTAAACGATTAAATTCAATACAAAAATTTAAGTCCTAAGTAAAATCTATTCTGCTACACAGCTTTTTCTATACAATTAGCGACTATACAGAGCATCCAAAAGGAAAGTAATATTAATTTTATAAATGACATTTAATGTATTATTTACCATTTGTATTGTATAATTCTAAAGAACCTGTAAGAAGTATTGTACTTCAGCTTCTGGCTCAATAACCCCCATCTCGATCAGGTTTTCGTCCAGTTTCCCTGATCCTCGAGCAAATGCTGACATGGCCAAGCTTCTAGACATAAATGTAACATCAAATAAACTTATCCCTATAGCACGTCATACACAGTTGTTAACTGTGACGTAAATGAAATAAATAAAAATCGAATTTAATTCTTTAATGCAGGGTTGTCTAACCTGCGGCCCGCAGTGCCATTTATTATGGCCCGCGAAAGAGTATTTGTCAAAAGTTTACGTCCCTTGCACCCATGTCGGGCGAGAAAATAGCGCTTGGCGCGCGCGTCCTCTCGGAGTCAACATCTTTTCAATGTAAAAATAGGGTAAGTTTGGATTTAAGATTTTTTCTAGTATATTCAGAAATTCAAAATCATCCCAATGTGTTTCAATGCATTATGCAATGTTACGGTCTGATATCATGCATAGTTCCACCCACCCACCCCCGTTTCAGAGCAGACGAGATCAACAATACGAAGAAGTCTGGGTTAGGCCGCTCGAATAATGTCAATACGGCCCGCAACCATATGAAAGGTTTTAGTTGTGGCCCTCGAGGCATTGCAAGTTGGACACCCCTGCTTTCATATATGGCTCTGTGTTGTAAAATAATGTTGATGAATTGCATGTGAATTTTTTGTAGTGATCTGTTAATACTGACACCTGATGAATATGATTACTTCGCGGTAGTGTTATAGTTATAGACAGCTGTACTTTAAAAATACACTATGTGTTCAAATGTATCCGGACACGTCCAAATGGTGCTATTAATGGTCGTGTTTTTCAAGGAGGGGGCTTTCACCCCTTTTTGTTTTGTGTGGCACTACCACGGCACAGGCGTACGTTCAGATTTTAAACACCACCTTGCTTTCCACTGTTGAAGAGCAATTCGGGGATGGCGATTGCATCCTTCAACACGGTCGAGCACCTGTTCATAATGCACGGCCTGAGGCGTTGTGGTTACACGACAATAACATCCCTGTAATGGACTGGCCTGCACAGAGTCCTGACTTGAATCATATCGAACACCTTTGTGATGTTTTGGAACGCCGACTTACAGACCTACATCGATACCGCTCCTCAGTGCAGCACTCCGTGAAGAATGAGCTTCCATTCCCCAAGAAACTTTTCAGCTGATTGAAAGTATGTCTGCGAGAGTGGAAGCTGTCATCGAGATTAAGGGTGGGCCAACACCCTGTTGAATTCCAGCAATACCGATGGGGGGGCGCCACGAACGGGTAAGTCGTTTTCAGTCATGAGTCTGGATACTTTTGATCACATAGTATATATTCCCACTCTTGAGTAAGCAAGAGACAAAAACCACTAATTTCTAAATCAAGAGGCAAGGCAATGGTATAATTCCTAGCTTAATAAGAAATGGCTTAAAAGAATCACGTGGATGGGATTTGCTTATTATTCGTACAATTAACTCCTGTAACCTAAACGTCTGGGAGCTTTAGGATGTGGTTCCTAATTATGCCGTATCTCGAGTGGGACTGAACATTTGCGAAATACATACGAGCAGTATGAAGTCTGACTGAATTTGGAGATTTCTGAACGCGTAGCAAAAAATAAGCATGGAGGGCCATTTGTATTATCCTTTTCCGATTCATCCGCGGGGTCCTTATTAAGGGCCCCTTACTTCCGGGAGCAGTGTAGCTACACCACTCAGCCTAAGAATGAACGTCGTATACAAAGAATAGGAGCGATGATTTATGTTTTTGCAGTG